CTGAGAGGCCATCAGCTCAAACTGGCTACGCAATACAGTCGACTTGATGGTCGACGCAACGTTTTCTCCCTCCATGTGTTCCCTGCCTGGAATGCCCTTCCGAATCACGTTATCCTTGCCCCTACATGAAACGCTTTCAAACTTGCATTACTTGATATAACCCGTTTCACTTGGAAGAAGAAACAACGCAAACCTAACCATGTGCTTAACGGCCCTCTGTCAACGTCGCGGTGAGGATACATGCAGTAGTATCCATGTGATTAGACTAGATGTAGCTAAACTTGATTAACCTATCACATCTGTCAAAAGAACAAACAAACGACTGAGCGTTGTCGTTTCCTTTTTTATTTCTCTCGCACTTACTGAAGTATAACGACTCTGTATATTATTTTGCTTGTGCACATCCCATTCCCACTTTAAACTATCGTAATGCAGTAGTGTACTTAACTCGGTGGACGTTTGAAATAATGATTTACTTATTCGAAAATCCTTTGTATTTTTATTTTAATTCCAACCATCCTACGGGAATTGTCAAGCACATACTTTAAACCCGTGATAAATCATTGTTCATTGTTCATATAGATTTAACACAGCTACACAAGTGCAAAATATAGCGTGTGCAGCGTGATCGGATACATGGTAATTTATTTGATTTCTTTAGTTGTTTTTAGGCACAGAACGCGGAACAATTCATCCTCATCAGTAATTTCGCACTTAATGCAAACAGCTTTGCTGACGCATTTCAGCGCAACGTCCACCGTTACGCAACCTTGAGTGGACAGTAACTTCCTTTTTCAAGTATCGCGCCGGTTGCATACAAGCGCGGTCTTATAGAAACCCCGTTTCTACAGAGCCAGACGAATCTTTATCCCGGAGACGCTAAGGACTGGAGGCGAGTTTTACTTCAGACTTTACTCTTCGATGGGTGCCAAGAGGAGTTCATCCATGTCCACAGTGGAGATCCGAAAGAAAAGTCACCAGTATAATCAACGACAACGTAGCATACGTATTTGTTCCTACCGTTTAAAGGTTATCACGTTGCCAACGATATCAAACACAATGTCAGATCCGCTCTACCACACACCTACAGGACAGATCAGATGCGACTCTTCCACACCACGCGACGAGTGGTTCTCGACAACTGTCAGAGAGTTCGAAAGACAGTTCGGCCTCACATCTTTCATCAATTCACGTGAAGTTGCGGTGACACTTACATAGGCAGGAATGATCGTCGACTGTCTCAAAGGTGAACCGAACAATTCTCAAATGGCTAAGGCAATCTTTGAGACAACAAGGTCGAGTGCATTAACTGATGCATGGGAACCCCAACTCATCTATGTTGGCTCATCATCCGGTGGACCTGATCAGCTCCATCAAGGTGCTATTGCGCAATAGGAATTCTAAGCTTTGCTAATCATTGAGGCATTACTACAAAGGATGAATCGTCCGGCGCTCTTTTTAAGGTAGAATTTTAAAGCAATCAACTGTATTGCCGTAGCCCGATTTACGTTTTACACGTGGATTTTGCTTATCCATGTTATAAGTCTACCATCTCATATAAATGAGTGTTTCTTGCCTGTATTCCGTTGCGAGTGAAGAGATCAATCGAAATGTCGTAAGTTCTCAATCAGTCTCCGCAGTGTTTTAATAAAGTAGGTAATGGAGATTAAGTGGTTTGAATGAAAGATTGTTACATGCGTCGATGAAAAATCCAACGATACCTTTTTATTCAGAGCAAAAGGAACTATATTTTAACTTTCGGAGGAGAATAAAACAATCCTTATGGTTAAATGGCGGATATTATATGCAGCTAAAAAATATTTAAGCAAAGTGCATGATATGGAAAGCACGTTGAGCTTGAGGGTTAAAATTGCCAGTTACCAGACTTTTCTAATTTTCGATTAACTGGGTGGAACAGGCTAACTTGTTAATATAAAAGAACAGCGATGATCGACAGCCCATCAACGAGATTTGTTTCCTTGACCCACGACATGCGGAGACGAGAGGAATTTGGACTCAAGGGTTAGGGAAAGTAGGACTTTAAATCCCAATACTTATAGCAGTATTGGGATCTTCACCGAGTCACGAGTTTCTGTATTCCTCGTATAAGTGTCAAATATTCCTCAGTGGTTGGACCTGTATGTAGTATAAGGTTGACATCGGTATATTTAGCGCTAGATGTGAAAGAATGATTTGGGAAAACGTTTGATGTAGCAGACTATATAAATGAAGAGGGATAGCTCTTGCGAAATAGTTTGGCCGGCTGAGAGGTCAAATGATCATCTACCGCAGAGCTACGAAAAATGTGTAAGATTTGAAATATTCCCTTAGTGCGCAGCGCAAATATTGGACACCATATTCGAAAGTGAGTTCAGCAGTAATGATACATCGTGCTCCTCAAAACCGATGATAGAAAGGAGTAACAGAATTCGTACAGCCTTACATTTTTAATAGTCTCATATAATATGGAGCATACAAGATACGAAACGGCTTCCAGCCAAGTGCGCTACTGCTTATAGAGAGTGACATCCTCACTGTGACAATGGAGCACTGTTACAGTAAGGGCAACAAAGCAGATGCTTAACAAGTATTGTAGCATGTCCAGAATGAGAACCACCATATGGTGATTAGAAAACAATATGATAAAATGTAAAGTTGCTTGGTGGACTCATCGCGGAGTTCACACAGAGACATGCAGCAAGCAGCCAACTTGGATTGTGTGGGTAAGTGCTGGAGTGCAACTTTCGTCACATTATATCTTCCGTCGGTGTAATGTAGGTGGCTTAGGGCAACGTCAAGCGTTTCTTGACACAATTACATTGAGGGTGGAAATAACGTAATTTGTGAGGGAGTTCCATGGCTGGCAGACAAGCAGAGATTAAAAGTTTCACTTATGAATGGAAGGACTTTGGTGAGTATTGTTGTTCGTCGCAATCAGCTGACAATTCAGATATGTTTCGCCGATATGCTATCGCACGCCATTGCGTGGTCAACTTGAGCTGGTGGCCCCACAAATCCCTTTTGTAGCTGAGTTCTTGTAAGTGGCGGCACACGCATTAGGGGTTCCTCAAAAGTCGGTTGGCCATTATTAGTTCGCCACATAGTCACCGATACAGGCCCCTTGCTTTATTGTGAAAGAGCAAAGGAATTGTGGTTTTATAGCACCTTCAACAGACCGGAGCTTACTGGGGCTAGTTGTTGTGCCCTGGTGTAATTCCCGCCGATTCTTAACGATGGCGATTGTATTGGTCGTTATTCATGTTTTCAAAAGCACTTTCATATGGATTCTAAAGCAAATGCCGGTAAGGCATCTGGTTTACTAGCCTTCCTAAATGCATTCATGTGAACTATTTGTATATTGAGTCATTGTCAAAAAGGAAGGACCGCTTAATTTTAGCAAAAGGAGGTTAGGAAATGTGCCAGTTGATGAGCTAAACACTGCTTTATGCTTCACTACTATAACGTTTGAAAAATAGGTAGCTTCAAACGCTAAAACAGACAATGGCTGAAAGGTATGAGCTTATATAGACCTAATATAATCAGATAGCTTGGGTTATCTTCTCACTGTTATGTAGGCAAAGGATAATTTCAAAAGAATGTAGGAAATAATGCAGGTGTTTTCTCAGTTTGGAAAAACATCCCAGGGATATCATGACTTTCTCTACTTGTTGCAGCGTGTACTTGTGAAATTTCGGTTAATGGGCTTATTGAAACCACGTCAGTATAGAGCACAACTACGTTTGATAAAGCCGTTTGTTTAAAGATAAAGTTTATTTACCCTTTATTTACCCTTAAACTTATACATTGTTTGTTAGTTACCGAACAGTGCTTGGCCATCTGCAGCTGTACTGTTACTGGCACAGCTTGGTGGTCCACTTGTCTTCCCTCTCTCTTTCAAGCATCATGTATAAAAGTACAAATTACACTCCATCATTCGGTATTATAAGCACGAGCGCCCGATTTTTCTTTTGTCCGTTATAACTTATACACACGGCTTTAATTGACGGTACTTTGTTAAAGGATATCCCGTTGGACTGCGTTAAACCTGAAAGACAACAATTTGATGAAATTTGCATGCACTTACACACCACGTGAATGCACGGTATATGTTATCATCCAAAAGGATGAATTATAGCACGATTGTTAAGAAATGTATTTTGCATGTAAAAGCAAAATCCAAAATAAATGTCATTTACATATCTACCGACTATGCCGTAGCGACCGCTTAAACTGGGAAGGTTCATCTCGAATTTAATACAGCACCGTACTTGTCATGACAAACAGTCTGACACTGGCCTATGCACTTAGCGAGCTGACAATGTGCAGGACACATGTGATTGGTTGTTGCGATGGAAGCATAATTTTTGTCTACGCCTCCCAAAAGAAGCATTTTTTGGTTTTCTGGTTTCCAAAGAGTTTTAAATTGGGAAATGTCCGTAATACTATCGTAGATCCTATTTTGCTGGACGTGTTTCTTTTCCCGACTCCAGAATTTAGATGATGAAACACATTCAAATCACTCGAGCCAGCTAAAATACACCTGCAAGCATTTACCGAATTACTACAAGAAATACAGCTGGCGCAATGATGAACAGATTTATGGTTTCAACAATAACAAAGTACGAGTTCACTAGAATTAAAATGCATTTGGAGTTAGCCCTAAACAGCTCAGCAAGGACTTATTCTACAGCAATACATTCCAACATCGCAATTTCGTTTGCAATAGCACGCAATTGGTTGGTTGCTAAACATTTTACATCCGAAAACAAAGCTCACATGCATATCAGTGTGGTACCTAGTAACTACCCGCAAACACTATAAGAATTTTTACTTACTTATTAATTTTCCTACACAAAGCTAATTTGAACCTCCAGCGGAAGAACAATGAGGGCATCATCATCAAATATCTAAACAGTTATTGATTTAAATGCCAAAATTTTTAATTAAGTAAAAATTAAGTTGCGTGTTTATCAGCAAACCTGCATTTTGTTCCTAACCAGGACCCTGCCGATGAAGCACGAGGCCCGTATGCACCAGGGGTAGGTTGATCTCTGTGTTAATAAATTATTTAGAACTTTCTAACTCAGTTATCATAAAAGCTGCATATTCTCTAAAATTTTACTTTCGCCCCAATGCAATGCTTTAACCACTATTAAAATCATAATTGTGCTAACATGGTTGCAGACTTGATATCTCCAAATTTATTTTAAGCCAATAAAATGTAATAAGAATTAGAAATGGATGGTTTAACATGAATTTAATTTCAGCGCAATAATTTGCGAATAAGAGGGTGAGGAGAAGTAATATTTAGAGCAAATGAACGGATGTCGTTTCGGCTCAAAGTTTAACTAATTAAATAAATTCCATACTTTCAGACGGTGTGCGATTTTACATTTTATATATTTTTATCAACATCCTAGGGGCTAATTAGCTTTACCCGCAATCCTGAAATGCGCCAGACGCGCGTTTCGCTACATTGGGGTATTGCCAGAATTGCGCATCCTTCGGTCTTCTACTGGGAATAGAGTCCATGATTACTTGAGTTCGACGCCGACTAGCCAGCAGCTTAAATTTGAGCTACGTAATTTGCAAGCTAACCCGATATGGCACAACCTATGTTTCATTGCCACGCACTTGCCTACTAGTGCAGATGAGAGCAGCTGGCGTCCGAGTTTTTGACATCCTCTCAACTAGACGTATGTTCATAGCCTCTGAACAAATTGGGCTACAGTTTATATTACCCGGGAGCAGGGAGATGCGATATCCTGTTCCGTAGGATAAACAGATCCGTTTTACATTTATCTATGCTACCATATAATCCAACAGTGAATATGAGCAAAATAACATCTTCATTTGTGTGACAAATAACTCCGAATTACTTACCGATTGCTGAACTGTTGATGAACGGCTGCTTTGGACAAACACATGAGGGATGATCAGACCGAGAAGAAAGTGAAACGAAAATGGCTGTAAGCCAGAATATCATATGCACGTATCCAAGTGTATTGTAGTCGACAGAGAGTAGGTATCGCTGGGAATTGGCCTAAATAGCGACTGTTACACCGTTCTCTACTTTTTACCGACTTCACGCTGACTCGCCCTTTCATTTTGTGGAAATTGGTCTGATAACATTCATTAAAGTACGCTAAAATTGAATATCCTCGTTTATGCAAGACATGAGCTTTCCGACATGATCAAGATTTCGCAATCATGTTACACAATCACAACTACTAAAGAGAAATTTTGCATCTTAATAGTGAAATGGCTGCAGCAGGTTTAAAAGCGAAAAGGAAACAGTCAAAGTTTCAATTACATTAATACAGCAACAATTGGAACCGTCCAATTGGAACTTGATTCCAGTGTAGTCCCACTTAGGGTTTCACAAGCACATCCACTTCAATGTGCACTGGGAGATCGTGGCCTACACGTATGCAAGCTATAACAGTTGCTATTCAACTCTCATGCCCTTATTATTTGTTAATAGAATGGATTACTCAGCATTATCTGTTCATGTTCCGCTTTGAGTTAAAAGCGTGCTGATCATCACCCTCTTTACTCGCTGGTTTAAGTGCGTATTTTACCTTGGTTACACGTGGACATAAGTGGCTTGGAATTTCCTACGCTCCTTAGCTAGCGATGGTGGAGGATGAGACAGATGGTTCCAAAATGTTCGTGGTTGGACATGGAATGAAGAAAATGTGTGCACTCATTTGTATCATTTAATTGTGACCGTGCACAAGCCAGTTGGTGTTCTGGAATGCTTGCAGAATTAACACTCATATGTCTAAATCCGTCAACAGAATGCCAACTTAAAGGGTAAAGAGGCAAATCTCGCTTATCATATACTTCACTTGTACTCAGCGGTTGTGTTGTATCATTGGTTGATGTCACCTGAAACCTAAAGCTCGCTGAGGTTTCGTAACAATTAACGGGTAACTGTTCGGTCAGCACGGACAGCTGAGGTAACTTTTCGCCTTTTACCCACGGTACCTTTGAATATTATACGCTACTGCCAGATTAACTATGTAGTAAATATCCGAGCCAAATGTACTTGTGCTATGAGGCGCGGCTATCGGAAGGGAGCACGTAATCCTGCTTACTTTGCTCGTAAGCGGCATAATGGGAGGCGGTAGCTTCATAACTGATAGTAGAGATATCCGTTGGCAACAACGAAATCATGATTAAGAGCATAACCCGTCAGATTAGGCTGGACGGAATGCAGTATGACGAGGTGTCCAGTGGTCGATGTGAGTCTTTAAAAGTGCGCTTTTTATCATTATAGTTTAGTGTTTCAAAAATGTTGGCAGAACTGATTATTTATGGAGAATTGCCCACCATGTTTGATGGTCGGTTAACTGCGTTTCTGCTCTTATTTGCTTTTCGTTTGTATTGGTTCTTGCTCATGGTTTATCGCATAGACGATCTAATATTTTCCGATTTGTCTTGCTACTCGCGGTTGGCGTATGGTATGTCATATACAGCAGGTGTGCAGCTAAGTGTTTCATCCTTATCATCATGCATCGGGCCGTGCTTGTAGGGGATTTGTTGACCTTAACTTACCTTAGGACTGATTCAAATTTCGGCATACTTATAACAGCATTGCTTTATGGCAGCGTCGAACAGTTGATGTGTCCGAAGCATTAGAGCTTGAAAGAGCAGCAATATTCTGGAGTTGCGATAGGTCTACATCTACTTTAAGTAAGTTAGTAATTCCCGCATATTAAGCATGACTAATGGAGTTTGGGGCCCAAACATATTAGGAGATTGGAGGAGCTCAACTGTCATTTCGTGATGTGATGGAATTTTATCAAGTTTGCTGGACGCAGTGTTGTCAGTAACCAGTTGCTTTTCTTGTCGAACAGTTGGGTGTGACGCTTCTCTCCAAATTTAAGAAGAATGGGGTATGTATATATGAAATTTGTTTTTCTTAGTCGGATAAGATGGCAGATTGTTCCAGGCATAGCCCATGCATTGAGTCGAATGTCAGAAATATTGCGAACAACAATATTTCAAGTGCGAGTAACATTTTCACGAATTTCTATGGTAAGTGAAGAGACAATCGATCTGGTACCTTGCAAATAATCTGCCCTAGATTTATCCGGTACACGAATTAACTAGGATACCGACATCAGCTTATCAATCATTTGGCTGATGTGTTTGAATTTTTTGTTCAATATAATTACTACATTTTCTAGTTTTATGAATTTAGTGATAAGATCAAATTTGTAATTTATCAGCTGAGCAGCGCATTTATATTTGGTGGTATTTCGAAGTCACTGCTTACTTTTTTCACTTTATTATCCATGGCCAAATTCTCTGTCTGGTCAGGTGAAGAAGTTTTGTGGTTTTGCATCTAAGATCCATTGACTCTAGCGGTCAGCTTACTTAGCAGATGTAGCAACGATCCGCGTATCAGAAGGGCAGCAAGCGTGGCTAAGAAAAGTATGCGATGAATCTAACTGATTTAAATTCTTCGCCTCCAGTTGAGGAGCAATCGTTATGCAGATTTTGGGTGAATATTATACGTTGCCCAACTAACAGGTGTGCGGAGACCGTAACTGCAAGTTTATTGGGCGCGGTACTTTCGACAAGTAGGCGAAGAATTTCGTGTTGGTATGTGCACGGATGCAGCCGTTGACTCATATTGTTGCGTTATAGCCTAGAGAATTAGTTGATACCCACAGTCGTTAAATTGCGGCCGTTGTGAAGTTACGAATAGCGATTTAGAGATGTCGGTCAAATACAGGCCCGACTTACGGTTGGAGTTAGACAGGAAACATCGCAGGATTATCCATCAGACGACCGAATCTATGTGTGAGCGCGCGAGATCGGTTGCAAGCGAGTCGCAGATAATTGCCTTGGGCGAAGATACTGCTGCAGTTGAAACGAGTTGGGCGTTTTCTGTACTCTACCACTTTGGCCAGGCTTGACCATAGGTTCGTTGAATGCTCAACGTTTTCTACAAGATGTGGCCACGAAAAGCGTTGTGTATGCAGAACGAAATAATAAGTTACCTGTTAGTTCTCACAGGGAAGGTATGAAAATGGGGTAATTGCAGGACATGTTGAAACCTCGGCTAGATCTGAACAGTTGCAGTTAGTAGATTGAGCTACATAATGGGAAGCAAATGCGTGTACTCAAACGAATGTGGTTTCAATTCATGCGGACTGACCGTAAATTTGGTGGGAAGGCGGATTATGTCGATTTCACGACTGCCATATCAAGATCACATCATCATCAATTCCACGAGACATTCTGTTGTGTGAGTTGCCGTTGCATACGCGTCCAACAGAAAAATCGGATAAGACGTGATATTTTTAGGAAATAATATTTCATGCCCACCTACTTTGGATTAACTTGTGCAAGAGTGCTGTTCTCTCTGCCTCCAGTTTCTCAATTTTACCTCGTTTGTACAAATAACATCACATCAATGTTTAAGTGCTAAGCAACTGATATAATGCAGCAGTTACACTATTGAATTTGTAAATTTTACCATCAGAACTACAGCACCCATAGCTAGCAACAGCATGCAAAATATCTTAAAACAACTACAGTTTAAACAATTTTACAGCATAATCCATGGTGTGTGCATAAACCTCCCGGGTTTGTCTGATATCGTCTCGTTTCACTTACCCAAGTAACAAGCGAAATATTCTGACAAGTATAGCTGCTACCTGATCGAGTATCGTTGGCACATTGGTTAAATTAGCATAATTTTGGCTATCAGCCGTAGACCATCGAGCTAGATAAAACTGTTATGTTGGTCTAAGCACAAGGAACCATTACTGGAATGAAACTTGCCCCAGTGACAACTTGCTAGCTAAAATGGTCGAAAAACATCTATCTTACTTAACCAGAGCAGAACGGCTCTCGACTTGATCCCATGTGGAATAAACCCTCAAACTGTTTCGTACGCACTTCCACACCTCAACTGGCCTTGGCCAAAGATCAATTAAGACAACATTGTATAAACCGTTTTTTTGAGGCTACGGTTATCGGTATAGAGAATAGGCACTCAAACCACTTAGCATGATGTTTATATGATTTACTTGTTTCCGGGAGTTGTTGCACAAATGTTTTCGGGCCTGAGTCGCAAGTGTCAATCAATCATTATAGCATTAATTTAACACCAGTGGTAGTCTATCAGAAGCAGCGAATTAACTGAATATTTGGGTAGCTAGCAATTCTATGATGGATCAATTCCGTTGATTGAATGTTCATCCCAAATGATTCATATGTTCTTATCATTTCCACAAATATTTTATCGGTATACTTTTATCAATATCCAGCACCGGAGAGTGTCGGTAAGCCTACTGAATTTTCAGCACTCTATATATACATGAAGGGAATACAATCTCACCTATGTTAGCTTGCATATCGTAACCACTATATTTGTATTGCATCAGCTATAAAAATTCACAACTCTACGCATGGACAACGTCTCTAGGAATAAAATACGTACGAATATATGGCTAAAGTCACACGCAGGCTCGAAAAGTGTCGTCAGATTCATCTATGCTATTCCTAAGCAAATCGCGCGCAGATTTCAGAAGCACCTTCGATCTGTTACTGAAGACAAATATATCAGTCACCTCCAGCTGAACTTACGCATACACAAGTAATTAGTACGCATATTCGTTTACCGTGGCATACAATTGATTCGCGCCTTAGTTAACATCCGGGTGCGAGAGTACTGTGCACTTGTTCTAGATCAAAACTTTGCAATGGCAGCGTGCTGTATCCAGTGATATCACTTATAACCAAACGTTTGAATCAATAGTTAACCAAATCCAACACAACTCGCATGCAATGTTTCCCAGGTAGAAGCCAGACTCTGACGAAAAGTATCGAAAATTTATTTATTTAGTGTCCGCCTCGCTTTGATTCATCCTATTACATGGGATGTTTTGATGACTTAATCATAGCATCGACTGTGATCCAGACAATTATTTGAATGCGTGCATAATGTTTTATTGCTCGGTAAAGGAGGCTGAGGTTGGGATGATATTTTATAAGAAACGCTTCCATTCATCTCAGAATCTGGAGCTTATAAACAACTAACGCTATTTGGTCTCCATCTTCATGTGCCCAACTTGAACTAGCACACACACAAGCAGCTAGGTGGATGACATTGGCACCATCATTATGAACGGGCGATTCATCTCACACTGGATGCATAACATCATTAGGCCTATATGAATTACGGAGGAGACTTTTTGCAGGAAACATAGATGGAATTAAGAAGCAAGGATTTGTAAAGAAACGATGGAAGTTCATTAGCTTATTGAGTAGCCACGTTCCGCAACTGACCTTTCCGAGTAAGCTGGTGTGATACTTTTGTAAACTTTCTGTTGTTGCTTTAAGCAGGAAATAAAGAAATGTTTTATCATTAGGCACCAAGTTTTGCATATTTTGTAATAAATTTGACTATACGACATTCGAGTCCCTGTTTGAGATCTTGCCAACACAGCCGGAACATCCGTCATACAGTTTACCAAAATATATTGAGAAAATGATATCTAGCCTAGTAAAAATCTGTCATGATCAAATTAAGGCCAGAAAAGTCAGTAGTGTATTGCTTACGAGATAAAAATTGCAAGCACTGACAGCGTTATAGCCAAGCAAAGAGCTAACCATATGTAAGCCAAATAAATGTACTGGCATAGTTCCAATTGATATTGTTTGTTATGCCCGTAAGAGGCGAGCAATTCTCAGTGATGAACGTAAGTCTCATAAAGCAACAGTAGTGAAGGATAACACAGGAGCACTATGTAAACAATTTAAGCGGCTTCCTGTGACGTAGGATGCACACGAATGTTATCCCAACAGGCGATTTCAAGTAGTTCAGCTTTTCAGGTGGACAACTACCGCGGTTGTGCGGTCTAAATAAATATATCAAGGAGACCTACTTACTGCTTCCCATCACTAGTATGGTTAATTCCCAGCAGCATTTTATAGCTCATTGGATCTTATAAAATATGGAATCACTAAAGAAAAGCATCTATATTTTTTGGAAGAAAGAAAAATTGGAGTTTGTTGAGGAGAATAAGAAATTGAATATGTATGAATGAGTGTACGAATGTATATATCATTGTTTGCTGCTGTGTTTCGCTACTAATGTTCCGTCATTGGATACGGTGAAATATGTTTGCGAACAATTCTCTCAACTGCACTGAGCAATTACTCCCCGGAGGTGTTTTGTTGTATGTTACTTGGGTGCACTTTGCGTACGCAATTGATATTCCGTTGGGCACATACCCGTCGGATTTTTGTATTTGCCCTGAGTTCATCGTTGCAAATACTTCTGGAAGAGGTATTTTGACGAAATCTTTACGTAGATGAGTGAAGTCACAAATCAATAGAGCCGGGATGTATATACGTTATGAAATTGACACGTTTCCACTCTGCAATGGGAAAGTGCAGGTTGTGCAGTTGTTAAAATCGTTTAACGGATCTCACCAATAGCTGAATCTCAGCAGTAAACACGAGTCAAGTAACCGACTATCGTTTCCAGAAGCTAATATTAACCGATTTACCAGTGGATAGTAAAGCAGAAAACATTATAGAAAGACAACATTTAAACTGCGCATCAGCCTCCATATTGAGGTACCACTAAAATACAAACGGAAACATGTCTGCACTCTTGCCTTTCGAGTGCGCAGTACTTGCACACCAGATACGTTACCTTGGAATTTCAGAGGATCAGTGAAGATGGTAGAGTAAATGGGAATCCAGCTAATTTCATCCTTAAATACTCTAAATAACGTAATTTAATAAAAGATTAATCTGAATGGCTTCCATACAAATGCGATTATAACCTTAAAAGTATTAAATTAATTTATCAACAAAGTAATCATCGACTGGCACTTTGCACGACAGGAAGTTTGATGCTAAGATAACAGCTTGCCTGGATTCCACTTTTCTCCTCCCTATATTTGGTACCCCATTCGACAGCCTGGTAACCATCAACTGGAAGATGGACTCTATTCGAACGGCGTATTAGTTGAGCTTCTGGCTAGCTTGGAATCTCTTTGACCAGCGCGGCCACTGGCTGGGTTGAAACAGAACAACGGCGGACGTGATACATATGACGGTTAACCACCCTGTCGTCCCATATTGCAATCTCTGCTCTATTGCATTAAATATCGCGTAAATCTGTAGGTTGACAAGCCGGTTCGTCTGGCAGTTTGATGTCGATCTGATGCTTTCCGGTCTTTACACATCTGATGCCGTTATTTTAAAATAAATCTTGGAACTTTTGGCTAGTGAATACAGGGCCGTTTTCTGTCACTAGTGTTTGCGGTATACCAAATATGCTGAAACGTGTTCTTATTCAGGGAACAGTTGTCTCGGAAATGACGTGTGTCAACAGAAATACCTCAATCCGTTTGGAACAGTCAGCGACTATGAGAAGAAGCAGATTTCTATTAAGCGGGTCAAATTAGTGTGCATGTAGTCGCTCGCATGGTTGGTCGGCCTATTTCCATGGACTTCGTGGCACCGGGAGGGCGTTTCTTTGTGTAATTTGACATGATTCATAGTGTCTGTTTAATTTTTCTATGTCGCTATGAATGCCGGGCCACCACACATAAGACGGCGCGAGCCCTTTCAAACGGGTGATGACTGGGTGAGCTTTGTGCAGTTCCTCCAGCGCGTAATGTGTAGTAACCGAGGCGGTATACTACCTCTTGGAACAATAAGGTAGTTATCCATGAGAGTTAGTTCTGTACGCTAGGTGAAGTAAAGAAACAATTCTGCGCCACATTTATCTGGCCTTCCTTGGAAGACCCAACTTTTCACTTAGCTGAGAACTACGTCCCGCTCCGTCTCACCGCGGATATCCGCGTTCAACACCGGCTTCCCAGTCAACTGCTGCATTAAACAGACTAATTCAGTTAGTTCCAATACACAAGCTGGCGGATAATTCAATCATGGCTAATGATGCTTTATGAGCAGTAAAGCTTTCTTAATGGTTAAATTTATTACCACCGAAAATAACTGATAACACCTAATTATCCAGTTGTGCGTAGTTTTTCTCTGACGGTGCTAAGCTCCTCAAGGGAAGAGCGATGGGCCTCTCCGTCTGATCATCCATCTTGTGGGACAGCAGGTCACCGAGCCCAGATGCTGAGGCGGCACATCGGAGAGCGATGGGCCTCTCATGATCAAAATTTACTAACAGATTAACCTTACCATAGATATCTTGATAGAATCGAAAGAATGTCATCCTTTAGCTGACCACTGCCACTTGGTATTTTCTCGTACTAAACCGTACAAAGGTGCTAGTGTTGTAGCCAGATCAGGTACGAAAGGAGTATAGTCAATTAATATAAGTATAGTGGATTTCAGCTCACTGACGTTACATGTCCTCGGATAATCAAGATGGGATGGACTTTTTCCATTAGCGGGTGGAAACCATGTTTATCCAAACGAAATTCAAGGTAGTGGACATTGTCTGGGAAAAATACACATTTGAATTCCTTCAGCTGGGGTCAGCTGTCCTTTCAAGAGCGTCTAAAGCCATGTCACATGTTTATGCTCAGTGCTGCCAGAAACTAAGATGTCATCTAGACAAGCGCATACAACGGGTTTTCCTATATTAAATTATCAACAATCCTCTGAAATCTTGCCGATGCAGAATGTGTTCAGAATGGAGTGTTTTGTAGTAGAACAATTCCATGTGCAGATTGATGATTGTCATTGGCGGTTTCATGCAGCTCTACTTGGGAGTAATCGTGGCTTAAATGAAGTTTGGAAAACGTCGGTTCACCTGATAGAGTTGTGTATAGGTCATCAATCCGCGGAATCCGGTGGTGTTCTGACATCTCCGCATGGTTACAAGTCAACTTGTAGTCACCATACACACAGAGCCATCAGGGTGTTATAGTGGAGCAATTGGCGTGGTCCAAGGTAAGTGGTGTACTGACGCTAATATTCCATCTTTTTGGAGACACTCCGGCACTAAATGAACTTTCGGACGAATAGGTAATGGTAAGTTAAATGCCTTAAAATCTTTTGGCTGGATGTTCGGTCTGACATTGAAATAGACTTTAAAGGCATGTAGTTTACGGGGCGATGTTTCATCTGACACACAAGTATAAGTTTTCAAGAAGGAGGGCATCTTTAGATTATGGTTAACTTCTTACGGTTTGAAGTGGTTCCGGCATATGTTTGAGCCAGTTTCTGCCAAGTATCTTCGCGCCAGCTGTGTTAACAACAATTAAAGGGAAGGATAAAATTGTCGGCTGCATGAGTTATCTTTAAATCACACCTCCCCGTTACATCGAGAGATGCACCAGTATAAGAAGGTAAAACAGACAGTGTCGGGACATGCTTCAGGTCGGGCGGTGTATGGTTGTTGGCTGACGTAACCGAGGCAACCGTATGGGTTTCTGGGGCATAGGTTGACCTTCACTCACAAGTTCTGCAGTGTATGGTGGTTTTCCCTGCACAGGTGCATTGGTAGTATGTGAAATCAAGTAGGTTATGGATTTATCGAAAGTCTCCAAATCCATACATTATTTAGTTGAAGACACGATACGTGATGTAGGAACGCCGTTGAGTGGCAAGCGCGCGCAAGATGTCTGACCTTGCCGCACTTGTTGCAGGTGGATTTTTATTGTCTACAATCACTTATTTTCTTCTTTCGCCACATCTCTGGCACATAAAGGAGCGTTTGTATTTCGGTAACAAGCGAAGTTTGGCCGCTTGGATTGTATCTGAATGATGATAATGTTGGTATTGATTCTACATTTGCACCACATATTTTATTATCTTCACTACTGTCCATGCGGCTTCCAAAGTGAGCCTGATCTAATATTCCGAAAGCAGCCATCCTCGGGCCTTGTTGTCGAGAATGCCAAATAGAAGACACTGGGTAGCTAGGATCACTGCACATTACGTCAACGGATTGTCCTTATAACGGCCATCAGGAAGGGACATCATTTTCGTCTCCCTTCCGTAGTTGGGAAACATTTAGTCGCGCAGTAAACACATCATGTTGAAAGTCCTAAAGACCATCCAGAGATTTGAAACAGTATAATGAGAAAGGATTTTTGTACCACCGTAGAGTATCGAAATGCGTCTGACCCTCCGCACCCAAGTGCTGTCTCAGCAGTTCAACATATTTTTGTTCAGTAATATTGCTATGAGGATTTGTAATCTTGAAGAATACAAGGTAATCATAGAATGTGCTCTTCTATTAGGACCAAACTGCAGGTGAGTGCTTGGAAGCCGTTTCCTTCCGAAACTGATCCAGTGAAATAAATTGACTTATAGCGAAGAATTCCGGATATAGAAGTCTTTGCCAGTGTTAAAGTCTACACATGCGGAGTAACGCCAGCCTGCGTACGCAATAATGGCTCTTAACCGAAGGACGCAAAGACAACAGAACTTATCTAGCTGGGCGCGTGTAGACGTGTATTCTACCCAGAACGTGTACAGAGCATCGAACAATTAACTGAAGCCAACCACTGGGGAATGGGTAATTAATAGACTAACAGGCGCTCACGGGCTATGTTAGCGTGAACACTGATTGGAACGGGTAACTCATACGTCACAGCTCACAACTAACCGAAGCATGCATTGTCACCTACTGTGAAATTTATGTAAACAACGAAAATTATAATCATCTTCTCTTCCTCCCACTTGTGTAGCGACAGAACGCAGTGGTACGTTCCACTACTCCATAAATTTTCATTGTATTGCCTGTTGAATCCATGTCCAATTACTAATGTTTCATGAATTAGAGAATAGGCATTTTGATCGTCACGTATCATCAGGCGGTGAAAATTAGGTGAAGCTCTTTTCACTTCTTACCGGAATCAAATTTCGAGAACTGTAACGCCATGCCAGTACTTATGATGTTACCGAATTTAACTAGTTAGGAAAACGTCGTTTAAATGCCATAATCTAACTACCAGAGCTTTGCTGAATTAGTCATATCAAAGCATGCGATTTATGGCATATCGCGCTGAAGCTCATTTTGGTGGGAAAAGATCTTTCTTTTGCTTAGCTACAGGCCAAATGGGTTTAGTTGTCCTGACTATATCTCCGTATACCTTAAATAACAATGCGGTTACAATGTTTGCATATTGGTAAACAAAAGATATAATCCTAGATGTAACCTTTCCGCTAACTGATTAACACTGATTTTTAAGGCAGGAATAATATAGTACTTCAAATAGGATTAACTGCTGCAAGCAAATGCACTTAGAAATATCTTGGAAGTCACTGATTTCTTCTCAGTGATTATCACTATAACAGTATACGGAATGTGGCGTTTTTGAGATTTGGCTCCGGAGAATACAGGCACGTGTCCTCATAAGCTTATCGGGTGAGATTTCTTTAGCATGTACCCATGCTCGCAATACAGTTCCTCGACCCAGATGTGTAGTACCGTCGCTGCGACACGCATCTTCCATAATTACATTGAGATACCTTGCAATATGTTTGCATTAGTGAGTTAAGATAAAAACACTGAACAGCGAAAGCATCGAATTCCTCTCTTATTTTCTCACAGCAAGCTTACGAAGTAACCCTTCCTCCGGAACACTTTGATGTTATACACAGGATGCATTGCTATAGCTTCCAATTCAGATGGGCTACTTCAGATACGGACAAACATCAGGCGGTCATTTTGTATCTCTGAGACTCGTCAGTGCCGTACCCCATATGGCTCAATCAGGATCAGAAGCCGTGACTACCTGCGCTTGGAACTACTAGGCAACAGCTTATGCAGTGGCCTCAACGGACTACACCTGAAGACCTTGTGTTACAAGCAGGCATTTGGTCTAATAGCTTTTATATATCATGAAGCATGTAGACGTTGCATTGAAATTCGTTCTCCAGAGGGGTCAGCCTCCTCTTCTGCAGCTTTCACGGATTGTATGGTAGCTGAGAATGGGTGTCGTTATATCTCAATCGGCATAGAAATCATGACGGTATGCCTCCGTCGCTTGTTTCCAAATGACATAATCCTCTGGCTATTGGCGCAAAATATATGTGATCACGAGTGCTTATCCCGAAAAAGCCGAGAGATGACTACCATTGACAAGTCGCATTTTTGCGACTCGGCTGTCTGGTGCTTTTCGGATAGATCGTCCATGTGATTTGGAAGCGGGTGCACAAATTCCTCTATAAAATTATGACAAATACATTTCACGTCAGAAACAATGACTACCAATTGTTATGTCAAGTAATCATTCTTACTTGGTGTCGCTCCATAAGGTAACACCCTTCGTGTCGAGCGAATTGCGATGCTTTACGAAGCGAATGACGGCATGCTTCTATAAGTTGTTTCAGCGCATTGCGTACTAATCTGTGTTATGATTTTTATGGTTTGTACATGGGTTTGGTACGTAATCCGAGGCAAGCCGCAATCCATCAAACTGCAATGTCAGCAACAAAAGAGTACTAAATGATAACGAGTAGTACGTAAGAACAGATAAGTGGCTAAGTTCGTCATCCAACAGAGGTTAAAAAGCGATTAGTGTAGGTACAGAAAGGACCGGTTCGGGAAGTGCATTTTACGGATAACACACTGGAATGAAGAAGGGATTTTTACCGCCTTCCACATTGGTGCACTGATCTGCTAGATTCAAGTGATGATCTCTCAACTTAATATTCCCGTTGATTTCCAGTGGTCAGCGGCACACATGATTTGGATTGCATGAAATCAAGTAGGCCATTAGTAGGTAGCTTAGTAAACAGCAATACACGCCACTAAATATTGCCAAATCTTTCATCCTCTGTTCATGATGTAGATCGCGCTTTCTATTGACGTATTTGAAATCCCGTTATTGTGGTTGGTCCAGTGTGCGCGAACGTTTTTCAGCCATGTCTGCCACTGAGCATCTCTCGGAAAATAAAAATGTATGTTTGTCCGAATGCCCGTCGCAACAGACCGACGGGTTGGTTACCATTTTCCAGGCCTTTTCGGAATAACGGGAGCAACCCAACTCATCCTGCACAAGCACGTCAAGTTCTGATCCGGCGAAGATCGCTGCACGACATGCGTTCCGAGCCTTTATGAGTAGGTACTCCGGTGTAGTATAGACATTACCATGCAGTTTTCACGTGGAAATGCAGCAGATTTTGTGTTTGCAATTGATGTACACTATCTTGGTCACACTGAGGCAAATTCTGATCGAGAGCCGCCTAAATCATGCATCATGTATTGCTCGGCATCAAACGGTATGAAATTTGAAGCTCTTCTATGTGGTAAGTCATTACTGAAGATCAAATTAACAGTGAACCTAGAACGGCAGGATAAGGCACACCACCCTCGTTACGTAGGGGTCAAGATAAGGGCCCTGGACATCCAAAACTAAATGCCGTTCAAGGAGAAATTTGGGGATCCAGCTCAACAGAAGTTCACCGGTGCCATAATGTTGGAGTTAGGAAGGGCAAATCAATGATCTAAATGATCGAATGCCTTTCAGAAATCCAAGTAGATCACCACAACTTCCTCTGCATCATCAGCTGACTCGACGCAACTACTCCGTGCGAAAAATAAATATTTGTGCACGATCGCAGTAGAGGGATGCCATTTTACTCGGGAGCAATAATGTGTCCATTTGCTAGATAAACAAATGCATCTGCAATGACAGAGTACATGATCTGGGATAGTAGAGCAGGTAGAGATATTGAACAGTAGTTGGAGGGCAAGGTCTTGCTTTCGGCTTTGTGAATCGGAGTTATTTTGCCAAGATTCTACATGGCAGGTACTTGGTTCTAACATGAAACAACGCTTGAGGAATTGATCCAGATGTGTTGTCAGACATTTTGCTGCTGCAGCTATTTGTTCTGGGCAAATGACACTGACAATCAAGGAGCTGTGATTGAGCAGAAGACAGCTATCGCAAAACAGCTTCAACAGTAAAAGAGGTGCAGTTGAGTACCGGAGGCGAATCAATGAAAAGCCGGAGGTTCACTTTATGTTAATACCGTCTGAAATGTGGGAGCATATTGCATCCGCAACGCGCTTGCTGCTTCTATAATCGTTCATGTTTAACTATCTGCCGACCAGATTGAAGGGATTCCGTGCCTCACCTTACGAAAGTCATCGACATGCTTGCGCAGCATTTTGTGCTTAAGCGCTATTAATGTATTCAACTAGTGGCGCCTTTGCCTCCTCTATACAGCCGAGTGCGGTAGTTACGTTGTGCTAGGCATTTGGTCCATTTATCTGGTGTGGGGAACGACCTATAAGCTCTCCATGCTGCATTTCGTACTGACAAGCATTTTCGAGTTCATCAACTTATGAAGGAAATGGATTTAGGCTGAGTACAATCTCTTTACTTAAAAACATTCGTAACCACTTGATTGAATTTGTTGAGGACTTGCAACCAAACGACTTGCGGTAGGTCTTGGATGGGGTTCGGCCAATTTCTGGCACTGGCAAGTTGAGTTAAGCGGTCTTAGCGAGCAATGGTACGCACTGTCGCATGGTTCTCATGACGACACTCCGCATAGCAGATAAAGTTGAAACCGATGACTGTTTGACCACTGCCAATCCAAGGGTGTTTTACAGCCAATACTTCAACCATATACTCATCGTTCGTAAAAGCAAGACCTAGCCCAGAGTGTTCCACGTTTTAAAATGCATAGGCTAAATGAGGTGATTGTAATGTGGAGCACTAAGTACGGGCCCTTGCAAAACGACTTTGCATTCTACTCCGATCGTGGCAGATGTTTTTATACGATGTATATTGACGTCGCCCATAAGAAGCTGTGTGACTGTATTTCCCTTTTTGTTTGAATATTAAAGGCTTATCAAGGTGACGTTATACCAGCGCTAGTTGCAAGTGTCACAACCGAGTTGCACAGTAGGCTATTCATAACGAAGCGATCTATTTTCAAGTATCGAGACAAATGATGTCGCGGCTGAATGGCCAAAGAAACTTATTTTCGGGTTTGGAGTGCATTACTAACATCCCCTTCAGATGATTCTAAACGAAAGACCATCTGGTGAGCAATTGCTTTCAATGATTCATCAGCAGACCAATACAATCATATGGAGGCGAGAAAGAAAGAAAAGCAATCGACCCAGATATTTCAAAACGACTTGATCACGTGCAGGTCTATATCAGATTGGAGAAAACGAACTAGGTCTTAGAGGGTTAGTTGTTTGCTACCGCATCTGACTAAAGGCATTCGACCTGAGCGTCTTCTCCCTTCGCTGGCCAGGGAATCTGGAGAGTTTGGACCAGCTTCTTCTGTGAGCAATTTCGTCTGATCATAGAAGCTTTCAATTTGTAACTCCAATCGAGTTGGTTATCCCTGCGTCTAGGAGAGCAAAATTTTAAGCCAAGCGATAGAACTTCCATCAAAGTTGTGTCCATGTTCAAACTACAAAAGTGTCTACATACCTGTCTGACCTGTTTGGAAATGTGGTTTGCAGCTTAGACTGGCTTAGCGACTTTGCTAAAGAAAACCGCCTCCTCTGTACACGGTTGCAAGTGATAGACTGAACATAGTCCAGAAACATTTTCTTTTCTTTAGCAGCTAACTCATCCGTTGCTGTGTGACATTGTACTAAATTTCTTTCGTATTCAGTAATCTTGGACTGCACGGTATCACGTTGATTTAGTGCATGTCGTCTAAGGGTCCTGCTATTGGGATAGATCTGATCACGGCGTAACTGTTTCCAAAATCTGGTCGGATATTCATAACGCTATACGCAATCATTGAAGAACTGAACTCAGCATTTGGCTTCAGCAAGCTTAGTGGAGAACTTAAGGAACTGATTGAGCTCCTTCACCACTAATGGGAGCTTGGATGACTTAAGTAACTTTAAAACTCACATTTACGTCATTAGAAAGTAAGACCATCTGGTGAGCAATTGCTTTCAATGATCCATCATCAGACCATTACAATCATATGGAGGCGAGAAAGAAAGAAAAGAAATCGACCCAGTTAGTTCAAAACGACTTGATCACGTGTAGGTCTATGTCAGATTGGAGGAAACGAATTAGATCTTAGAGGGTCAGTTGTTTGCTACCTTGTCTGACTGAAGGCAGTCGACCTGGGCGTCTTCCCTCCTCGCTGGACAGAGAAGTTGGACAGCTTGGACCCTACCGTACCGGTGGCGTGGTCATGTGATATAATACAAGAACACATTAAAATCGTGTGTAACATATTATTTAAATATTGTGATACGCAGCCTCACTATATTTTAATCTTCAGTGTGTTGTTATGTTGAGTTATCAAGAAACGCGGCTCGCTTAGTACATTTTGCAGCCAAAATATGTTGGTATAATCACTCGTACCCTGTAATTTTTGCTGCATCCAGAACCCCTACGCAAGGAACGCATAAGTAAGTTATGGTATGAATTAAGCGAAGATAGTGCTAGCGTCTGAATATAAGGAAAAGTCTAATTGTATGTGTTATACTTTAGGATTGACGTTTCTCACATTGTCGCTATTGTGTGCTCTGCTGACGGATTGTTAATAATGGCAATAATAGAAGGAATCGCAAAACGAATTGTTTCTTGATACCTCAGGAGCGACTACATATAAATGGCTGTGACTTCTTCTAATGTTGTTCTAAATGGAACACGTGGGTTTTAAATGTTACTAGAGCAGGGCTATATTAGCCAGTAAATAATCTGGATAAATTTGCATTCCCTTTATCTAACTCTTGTGAAATTAAGGTTTTCCACCTGTGAAATAATTTGTAAAGAATGTTGCATACCATACACACACGAACTTGAAAAGATTGAGTGTAACTACGGAGCATAAGAAGGGAAATTGGTTGATTACTAACATTTACGGCAAAATACTTATCTACCAATAATAACGCTAAACAGTAGATGCTATGCAAGCAGCAATCCAATTTTCTACACACGTAGTTTTATGCTCTGAGTTGGTCCATTTTAAAGATATGCAAGTAGAGGCTGTCGCAAGATCGACGAAGAAATACTCATCAGTAAACATTATGTCCTTCGCAAGCCAAATAACATGCATGTTTTCTGGAACTCGGGCAAATTGAGGTAGGATACTAGGCGGATCATTTGTAGGCTATCAGTGCCGAAGAATTTTGTTTATGTCCTTAACTATATAGAGAAAAATGTTTTTGTCTGCGGATATGTAAAATATGAATCCGGCAATGCAAATATGTTTGGTCACGCTGGTAGGATTTCAGGCGGAGCTTTCTAAAAACTGGATTGTGCAGATACAAGCAGAGCAGGTAGAGGTGTCTCCTTTTTGCATTTCTAAAAGTAGAGTCGAAATAACTTCCATGCTAAGAGGATGGAAATAAAAATCAAGCTGAAGCTTCTCTAAGTGCCATCCTGGTCTTTAACCCTGAAACATCATATCAAAGTCAAAGGGATTCGTTCGTTATTCAATACCACTAGGTTTAGATAATGGTCCTCCGGCAGATAAATCTTACTTGAAATCTAACTGATCGGCATGTATCAACTGCTTAACGTGGGGAACAATTCAGATAATGATCTTCTACGGTAGGATGCACACACGCAACGATAACACTTCTTCTGGTAAAATGAGTAAAACAAACTCGTAGATATTTTGTAATGTTTGCAATTACGTCGTATATGAATACTTATACCGCGGATTTGACGCAGTTGCTTTTTGAGCGAACACAATGCTTCAATGCCCATCAAAAGCGTTATTTTTATATATATTTTTACAACTCCGCCTATATTACTTAGGACTTAAACGTATACTGTTTAACCAAAACCTACTAATTGCACAGCAAGACAAATAAACAAAAGTGATCCGTTTATCTATTGTAGTAAAAGAGGTTTGACAACTTTTGCGTTTGAAATAGCGCCACAAGAAAACTTCGACTCAACAGCTGTAGATCAAAGCCAGAGATATTTAACACGAAGTCGTTATTACCAGGGTAAACTTTGGGTGCAAACGTCTACCACTCCATTATCTTGGTTGCTATAAAATAAAATTACAGGTTAATCTCAGTGGATTGATAACGTCTGTTAACTTAGCATAAGTTACAATTTTCTATGCTACATTCAGGATTAAACTCAGAAAATTAGCACAGTATATAATGCCTATAAACATGCACATGGATCAGTGTTACTTAGACAAGTATTTGGCGCGTCACATTTATTGAATTTTTCCAAGTCAATTGCTATCTAGCAAATAGTTTTGTATTATCTGCAGTTTTCCAGCAATATTAATCGCACACATCACAATCTAGCATCCACTGGAAACGATTTAATGATAACGGCAACCCAGGTTGCATCCAGACTAGAAAATAACGTAAATTTTGTCTATACATCTGAACAAACCTAACAAAATAAAATTTAAAATTACAAGCGTAAAGTCCCTGAAAGTGGTAACCTTCAGCATATCAAGTATTTCAGTATCTTTAATAAAATTAAGAACAGAAATGAGTAATGTGTAAATGCATGGTTTTAACTATGCTTTCATCAGACCCAACATGTATATAGCTGAGGTTGCGTGTTGCAAGCGTACATTTGGGAAAGATATCATGTTCAGAGCTGCTTAAACAGCCAACTGAGCAAAGTTAGAGAGCGATGAAAGGTTAGCCAACCACATGAAGTAAACGTCTATACTAAATTCTCAACAATTCAAAGTAGATGACTCAGATAAGAATCAACCGTTTTGGAGTGCCTGCCGTGTATGTCAGGAGCGGCTTGCTAAAATCACTATTGTATGGATTTTGGCGACAGCCGCCAAGCACTATGAGCCGAGTTCCATTACCAGCTCAGGCTATCTTTACCTGATGAGTCAAAAACAAGATAAAACCTTCGATCGTGGATTGCAGTGTTTGGTGTGGCTGACACAGAAATTAAAAGGCTAAGTAACAGTATATTTTGACCTCGGTAGTGGCATCGGCAATAATCCGGTTATCAGATTGTAAATGAATGTGATGTCGTCAATAAAATTATCGTCGTGTGGAAGGCTCAGTTAAGGCTTTCAGGAAGTGAGTAGTTAAATTTAGATTCCTTCTCAGAGTCTGTATGGTCATGCCTTAAGTGATGCTACACATAATGTCTCTATGACAGCTTTGTTTACTTTTAAATGGGACTACGCTAGAATTTGTTGGCAATCCCTATGTGATATTGAGATGGAATTATCCGGCATCACAGGACAAGTCAGCAAGGACGGTCTATCGTTCAATGGCCCTAATCACTATAGTACGTTGTAGTAAAAAGTATCATACAAGATACAAAATACTTTCATTAATTTTGCGTTTCAGATGGCGTAATAATCGCCCTAAAATATGGTAAGCGCATGGAAGCGGATCCTCCTTAATGTTTTCTTGTTGGTAGCAGGTGCATGATTTTTGCGCGGTCTTAAGATGTGTGATTGCAATTAACTGCTCTTGCGCTGCGATGATGCCGCACACTAGAAATTAATTTGTCGCTTAGAACATGTGCACTTACAGTACAAATTTCTGCTACGAAATCCACCAGTTACGGATAGATTTTACAACAAAAATAAGTAGCCAGTGCCGCATGCTTCGCTGAGTTGGAAAACAGGAAACTGCCAGCGCTATATATATATATATATATATATATATTTTGCCGAGGAGCGTTTTAAGTAAGGTATGTTCTAATATTGGCATAAAGATATCAGAGAGCATTTGCTTCAAAGTAGACCCAGTGGCCATTCCAATAATTAGACGGTACATTTAGCTACTGGATGTGAATTGAATGTTTGGGGTGCAGGTAAGAAATACTTTATTGGGAAGATTTTCTGGCAATGTCGTTTGTATAGGAAGTTGTCGAGCCGCATCGCTTAAGTGCTCAGCCGTTGTGAACAACGGGCTGTCTATAAACATGGATTTGGCTTCGAATGCTATTTTCCTGTTAAGGTAATATTAGGCTTTATTCTTACGCCAAATTTGCAGCTGCGTCTTAGGCAATATATGCCAAGTATGTTTCTTAAAGGCTGGTGCCTCGTCATTATCCCTTAGGCCAACGAAAGCTAGGTTGAATCCAGCAAGTCCAATACAGTGCGCAAAGGACGCCTACAGTTTCAAAACTATGTGGACTATTGTATTCAGGAGGTTGTCTGTCAGAAAGCTTGAGTTATTCGAAGTGGTTCTTCCTAACAAAATTGCTGAACCTTGCTTCTGACTCAAGCTACCGACCGCTTCTCTAACTCATCTGAGCTCTTTGTTCTTCTATGAGACTTTAGAGCTTACGCTTGTCCCTAAGAAGCTTTATCATTTAGCAGATTTATAAATAGCCTCTCCACATTGGTTCTCTTTTTACAACAGCATTATTTACTACTTGGCACTAAAGTCTTCATGCAAATTACTTACTGATATTTACTTATATTCTCAACGTCTCTGGACGAGTGTGGGAACAGTCCTCGCCTCTGTGAAGTTAGACCTTCAGACTGCAAATATTAAACTAGCTGATTATTTTACATGGATTTAAAACCTTGAAGCACAGCGTCACCCTGAAGACCCAGACGCACACCGCTCTGTGTTAACAGAATAGGTAACTGGCGGAAATATTATGGCTTACTCATAAACAGGCTCTTCATTTGACCAGTCCAAATAACCCGGAATTATATGTGGTTAAACCATCGCCCTTTTCCACTGCAATTTCTGATTTCGGTCGTCTAGAAGTTCGTTTGATCAACCTATCTGCTTTTATTAAAGTACAGCTTTTTGTGTTATAGTTCTCTCTCCATTTATTTAACTCATCCTGAGTGTCATCTCCCTGTGACCACTAGCAATTCGATGTGCCCTAATTTATTGCTCGAATTTTACTCTAGCTACTAAAGTAAAGTAAAACTGTTTATAATTTTACGTCTAACATACTAAATAGTAAATGGACAAAAGATATAAACCGGCTGGAGGGTCAACGAATTTTCATGTTTGCTTGACGTTTAATTGAGCTGTGTAAAAAGTTTTGAATCTGGTTGCCAATTTGTATGTTGGATGATTGAGAAGTCAAAAGATTATTTACATTAGATTATTAAACACAAAATAAATGTCTCAGTTGTTGGTAGGATGCGACAAGGTATGATTTATGTGAGCTACATAAATATCATTATTGCTACAGCATGTTAATTGGAGACTGCTCAGAATTCACTTGAATTAGAATATCTGAGATATGTCCACCAAAAAGCAAACCTTTATCACCTACATTATGAGCGCTTAGAAGCTTGACGTGTTGTCGTGCTTGTCAGTCTACTCCATGCCTATTCATCTTAAATGATAGCTTTTAAATCACAAAACACTCTAGTTAACCGCGACTAAGATCTTTCTAATCATCGTAGATCTTATTTAAATTTATGCGGAGACAGCTGAGAAGCACTCATCATAAGAGAACTTCGCTTAGAATCGTA